TCTTTCCAGTTAGCAGTCTTTGTTATCTTTCATATACGAGTATTCATAACAAAATAATATTGTAAATAATAATAATATTATGTTGTTTGAGGTTTGTCTGTGTCTAACTGTTTTTTAAAAAATGTATTACTAAATTATTTTTTGCAATGAAGACTGCTACAGTAGTACAGTACTGTATGGAATTAAATGCATTGTAACCTTATGTAATAATAAGATGTCAGAAAATCAGCGTAATAGTTATTTCTATTTTCCTAAAGATCCAATCAGGTAAAAAATTCAATATAAATATATCAATATATAATATTTAATCTTATATAAAAATTATTATAGATGTTCAATGTTTCCTCAGTGATCTAAAGAATAGGCTCAAACCTCATGCTGGCCGACATTATTTACTGGTACAACATATTATTTAACTAGGCAAATGATATAATTATATAATATAATAATTATAATTATATTATATAAAATAATATATTTGAAAACAATTAACAAAATTGGCAATTATTTAAAATAATAATAATATAAAAATGTATTAACTTTATTAACTTTATTTATTTACACACTTGATACAGAATTACTCATTATACATATCTGTTGAATTTATGAACAATTATTCTTTTCTTGTCAATTAATTTTGGGTTTAAAATTTCCGGAAGCATATGATTATAATAAAATACAGAGAGAAAAGATTCCATTTTATTTTTAAAAAATGAATCATCTTTTTTTATTTTTTGGAATAACAAACCTGTAAAATTAACAATCAATTATGATGATTATAATTATAATTGATTTTAAAAAATTCACATAATATATAACCTTTTGGAGACCAAATTACAAAATATCCATACAGCTTTTGTGCTATATGCAGCTGGCCTTGAACCTGATAAAAATAATTATGGTTTTCTTTGAGAAATAATTCTCCATTTTTCAAACATGCCCATTTTATGGTTCCATTTTCAATAGCTTCGGTGGGCGTCATCTGAGATATCGAAGACGGGCACTTAATTTCAACTAAGGCATCAGTATCAATGAGTCCATCTGGACTCGCCGCTAAAAATTGAAATTCTGGATCTATAAAAAGCCCAGCTGGGTGAATTTTTATTTTCATAATATTTTCAAACTCGGAAATAGCAAACGGTTCGTGTTGAATACCATATTTAGTTGACTCATTACCTAAAAAAAAATTGTTAGATAAATGTAATTAAAAATTGTATTGGTTGATAATGTATACAAAACATTACCTTCAAATTTAGTGTACAACAAAGATACTAAAATATTGTTTCTACTGGTATTAGGACGTAGTTTACATATTTTCCCAAAGTTTGATGCCGTTAGACGTATTTGCCTCTCTTTTAACCACTCTTGACATTGAAATTGACCTGTTGTAGCTTTTGCTATCTGCAAAATTTGGTCTTTAGTTTTTTTCAATTTTTCAAGAAATTCAATTTTTTTATTTTCAAATTCTTGAGGATCCAAGTTCAATTGATCACACTCTAGTTCTGTATCAATATCACCATAATCTTTATCAGGACCACTAAATTTAGTAACTTTACTTCTACTTTTAAAAAGTCGTTTAACAGTGGCTTTGCGTCTAAGACTAATTGTTCTTAATTTTTTATCTATAAATGATTTGGTGAATTTTCCGGGGCTGTAGTTCGTAATTTTTTTGTGTAAATTGCGTATTAATAAGGGTCCTGCATTTTGTGAAATAACCGCCGCACTACAACGGGTTTGATAGGAACCTTTCAGTGAAAAATTTATACGTTTCCCACCGACAAATTTGGCGACTAAACTATTGTACCCTTCAACACAATTATTATTTACACCGTAAATTAAAGACGAAGAATGATGAGCCAATAAATGCAACGCTGACATAATATCACTGAACAAACCACATAATTGCATATCAGGTACATAATTGATTTCATTGTTTTTTTTTTTGCAAAAATATTTATTACAGTTTGTATGTAAGCCAAAAACATGATATGGACCATTCATTATATCCTTTTTGAGAAAATTTACTTTCTCATTATGAGTATAATTTTGTTCCATACGATACTGGATGGCCATGGTCAAACCACTCCTTAATTTTCTCAATCGGTCCTTTAAAATTTGTCTAAGACTTCCAGGTACAATATGGCCTTCACTACTCTTACGTTTCGTAGTCATTTCTCGTAAACGATTTATATAATTTCTCATTATATGGTTTGTACATTCAATTTTAACAACTTTAAAGTTTGGGCCATATGGTTTTGCTATATGCAGTTTTTTGGTGACGCTACTATCACC